TCAGTGGAAAATAATCCATTTGCTCCATATTTCAGGTTGTGGAAGGGAATGGAAGCTAGATTAGAGAAAGTGAATCCCAAGTATACACATGAAACTTGTCCAATTGATTTCACAGCAGAGTGTAAGGCAAATGTTCAACATCTCCAGTCTGTTAAAGAAATGTATACAACCCTTTCTGTTTGTGTAGAAAATTAAAGCAGAGACAACGCTGCCTTCGTAGTGGTGGAGGAGCAGCCTGAAAAAAGCCCCTTGGTATCCTCATCTTCACTGTGGGTATCGCTTCCCAAATCTAAATACGTAGGCTCCAACTCTAGTCTTAGTTTTAGTTTTCAGTGTTTATGTATTTTTAACAATAGTGTCTGGGTGGGTATTTTTGTAGCAGATTTTTTTCCCTTCATTTTAAGGAATGTATGTTTTAAACATTAGTCTCTCCTGTGAATTGAAGTGAGAATAAATAAAACTTCAGTTGACTTGTGGGAAAGTTCACTCAATTAACATATTTTACTCCTTTTCAGGACTTGATGCCTCTGTTCTATACAGAGAAGTACTTCTGCTTCAAAAGACCTTTCTAAAATAGGTGACTTCCATTTTCATTTAGTTTTGTGTTTTTGCTGAAGCTGAAAACCACAGAAACTTCTGCGTTTAGAAGTAACTGCTCATGAGAAAACGATCCTTCTCATGAAACAGCACCTAGATAAACAATGTTCTGATCCTGCTCTTCATCTCTTTTCACTGAAGTTATCTGAGCAAGACCCACAGCTGGATTTTTGTTGTTCCCTTATATTTGAATGCTACGTCACACCTAATCTCTTTTTTTTTAAAAAAAAAAAAAAAAAAGGAAGATGAATGGAGGGGGAGGAGGGGGAATCTCACTTGGGTGAAAATCCTCTTAGTGTATATCAAATAGCTTCCTGAAACTTCTGGGTGTCCCAGTGTGCAATTCCAGTTGCTATGGTATCTGACCCAGTCTGAAACATCTAAAATATCCAAATGAAGACATGTAGGAGAAGGCTAAGCATCCTGTAACCATGTGCTACTTATGTGATCCCCAACCTCTAGCTGTGTGGCTGTGATGATGCAAACAAGTGCAGCTCCAGGTGAAGTGTAATTTGCCCTCAAAGCAATGCTTGCCTATTACCTTTCTTCTTGCCAGTGCCTTATTTCAGGTATGCACTTAGCTCTTGTTAGCAGAAAAAGACGCTTCCCATAAGCAGGCTATATATGCAGCACAGATGTACAAAATACCCTACTGGTGACTGCTTATGTGGTCACATGAGCTGACTGACCTGTGTTGTACGTCAGCCTGTGGGGGAGCAGCTGGTGCTGCTTTTTGCTCACATCAAACAGAGCTGCTGCTGTTCTTTTTTACTCATATGGAAGCACCACCAGAGCCCTTCCTTAAATTTAAGCAGAGATGCTCAGAATGCATTTCCCCTGATGTTGATAGTGATATGGGTGCAAGGAAACTGGCAGCTGTCCCATCTCTCCTTCCCAAACTAGCTCCTCAACCCCTTCTGGCTCCATTGTATGAGGCAAGTGTGGTGCTACTGATGGGGATACAGTGGGGCAAGGACCTGCGGATGGAGCAGCAGCTTTGTGGTAATCCCCAAGGTGTGAAATGCACCCCAGGCTCTGCAGCCAACTCTCTTTCCCCTTCTTTCTAAACAAGGGGAATCGCTGCCCTAAAATACAGGTTATAAGAGTCTGTGGCTATACTGAAGATGCTTTTTGCTACTGGGGGATTTTAAATGAGGGATGTCATTTGTCTGATCATTGTTATGATACTCTACTGAAATATACCCTTGGGAAGTCTTGATTGCAGCTTTAGTGTTTCTGAAGGCGGGCTTTAAGAAAGAAGAGGACAGACACCTTGGGGGGGGGGGTCTGTTGTGGTAGGACAAGGGGAAATGGTTTCTAACTAGAAGAGGAGGGATTTTTTTTTTTTTTTTTTTTTACAGTAAGCTTGGTGAGACACTGGGGCAGGTTATATCCAGAGATGTGGTGCGTGCCCTAACCCTGAAGGCATTCATGGTCAGGTTGGGCAGGGCTCTGAGCAGCCTGATGTAGCTGTTCCTGGTGATTGCAGTGGAGTTGGACTATATGGCCTTGAAAGGTTCATTCCAACTCAAATGATTCAATGATGAAAGGCGATAAATGAACTGAAGTGCAATGGGCAAATCAGTAATCAGGAGATGGGAATACTGGATGAGAATGAGGAAAGGAATCAAGGCAGTGAACCACGCTGTTTCAGCTATGATACTTGGCTCTGCAGGGATGATTGGTTGTAACTTGAATGCTGGGCAGCGGCCTTGGCAAGTGCAGAAGTCCATACAGAAATGAAGGTGAAAGAAGAGAGCAGCTAGGTGAGATGGGCAGCCTAGAGGTGTGTGATAGATTCCTCTGGACAGTTTAAAGCAGGTTGTGAGATCAGAAGAAAAGGATAACAAAACACTTGGTGAAAATGTAAGATCAGGGAAAACAGCAGTGCTAAATGTAATTTGCACAGACTGAGGGAACATGTTAGATGCATCTATAACTGTACTGCAATGCGAATTATTCAGCACCTGGTGTCTTTTGCTTTGGAGTGACAGGATTTGATGCTAGGCAGAATTTAAGTGTTATCTTCTCAATAGCAACTCAGCAACTTTTAGATGTGCATCTTGGAGAACAAAAAGAAAGCAATGGACTCAGATAACCTCATCCAGAATTGGCTGGGAAAGTGTCCAGACCCTTATTGTGTCTTTTGAAATGGTTAGAAAGTTCCAGAGGAGAAGAAATTTTGGCACGCCTGTTCTTAGGAAGGATAAGCAGTATAACCTGGATCACTGTAGAGCTGGCACCTTGAAATTAGTTCTGGGCAAAATTGATTTTTAGAGGTTGATGTAAAAATTGCCTAATTATGTATTTAATAAGGATTAATGCTTATTAACATGGTTTAGCTGGAGGGAGCACTTCTGTGAACTTGCATCTTTCAAGACAAAGTAAATCTCTAAGAAAATTATTTCAAATGTTTTTGACCAAAAGACCACTGAGGATTAGTATTAATCTAAAACCAACAGCGAAACGTAGGTACAGCAGTCTGTTCTCAAATGCTGTCATGCTGTCACAGGCAGAGCTAGTGTGTTATTTATGGTTGTAAACATGCTAGAACTGTCTGAAGGGTTGTGTCATGGCATAGTTAGGTCATACAATATCACTTCAAGGAGAAGAGTCTGTTTTGGAAATCAAAATTTAAAAAACAATTAACAGTGGAAAAATGGGGTCTACTGTTGTTAAATGCTATAGCAGCAGTGCCTATGAACTATACAGCCATTGAAGAGCAATGGTCTCAAAGAAACATTAGTCGTTTATTTTTTTTATTTTTTTTTTTTCCCTAAGTCCTGAAAGGTAACTTTTGGACATCTTCTGGTTACTGCTTTACAAACAGCAGAAAGCCTTAGCATAGCATCTTTGTCCTATTGGAAAGAAGTTGCTAGCAAAGCTGCTTCTGGAAAACATCCCCTTCCACTTCTTGATTGCCATTATCTCAATCTTCCACTTTCCCCTGTGATTATATTATTTTAATTAGGTATATCTAGGGAGTGATTTTTCACTGTCAGGAACTTGTGGAAATATTAGAGAAAATGTTTCACACTCTTTCACAACATTTGTTTTTTTCTTTTTGTTTTAAATTACAGATCATCCAAATAGGGAATACTAATTTAGTATAACTCATGAAATTCAGTATTTGCAATAAATTATTTTGGCACAGTGAAGAAATATTTCCTCTTTAAGGAAATCACTAGTTAACTGGTATTCAGTAGCGAATAAAACCAGGGTAATTGTTACCTTTAAACGCGTTGACACTTTCTTATTCACAAAGTTGAGCCCTCCTCTGTGAGCTGTTAGTGAGCATTAACTCTCCTCCCAGGTGCCTGGTGGTTTTCCTGACTTGGTCCCTTAAACCAAGGTAGTATGAAAACATATTACTGAAATATGTGCAGGCAAATTGAAACTGATGATATAAAACATCTATTGAGTGAGAAGAACATTCAAATACAATGTAAGTAGAATGTGATAGGGCAGGATCTAAAGCATGGTGAGATGGAAGCTTTGCATAAACAAGTATCCAGTCAGATGTGTGTTGTGTATTTAAATCACATCTGTGGAAGACGTGCTGTCTAAAATTGATGGGTGTGATACCGTATTTATCTTCCAAACCCAAGGCGTCTTAGCAGTCTGACTTTCCAATGTCACTGAAGGAAGGAGAGCAGGTATGTTAAGAAGCCAATGTCTTTCAGGTGTTCCAAGTTCAATATTCAAAAATACAAAGCTGAAATCTTATTGCACCCGAAAACCTTGGACCATTGTTAGGAACAATCTACCGAATGTTTGGTTTAGTAACGAATTGTTCAGTTTTCCAGTCTACTTTGATGAAAAGAAGTGTTTCCAAGCTGAGTGTGTCTATAGCAGGCTGATGTGATGAGCTGCACAGCGTGGGTGGAGGGCTGGGTGGTGAGACTTAGCAAGGTGCTCACCTGCAGTTAACTGTCAGGGAACCTCATTTTTTTTCACGTGTACAGTGTCTTAATTTGAAGACCAAAACTTGCTGGGCTTCAAGCTGCTTTCTGGTGGATCCTTTGGCTGCTGTTTGTCAGTCCTGCTCTTGTCCTGTGCTAGCAGAATTCCTGTGCAAATCCATGCACCGTTACCAAAAAGCAAATTGGGAGACGAATGTAGCTTGGATGTAGCATCAGCAGCCTGAATCAAACCCACTTCAACCAGTGCAATCCAGAATTGTGGGTATTGTTCATGTACGTATAAAAAAAAAAAACAAACCAGAGGTAAAACAACCTGCTCAACTTGGAGTGTATGTGTTTTTACTGGTTGCGCTATGCAGAACTGGAGAGCTGCATGGAAGCAAGGACAGCTTCTACAAAACTTCAGTAGGTAAAGGAAGCTTTTCATGACCAGTGCTGAATCTTGTTGCTTTGGGCATTAAGTGAGCTTCTTAGTCTTACTGCCACACTGTTCCTTTATTTTTCCAATTGATTATATTTCTCTTCTGAAGATCGTAAGTAGAAGTACACAACAGAAGCATTTGCTTCTCCAGTCTTTTGTGGTGAGTTGTTTAAATCCAGTTTGTCCACAATCTGGGCTCTGTTGGCTTGTGTGCTGCTCCCTTTGAGGAGTTCTCTGCTGGTGCAGCTTCATGATTCACCGTCACTGGGCGTACATGAAAGAGAAGAAACACTAGCATCATGCTGCTTGATCACTTCTCTCTTGCATATGAGCAAGAGCTCATCCAGCTTCTGCTGGCTAGAGGCTATCTTGCCACCAGGCACGGGCTGAGAAATCAGCTTTGTTTTCCTAGACTGGGAGATTTTATGTCTTGATTATTCATTTTTAATGTTTGAACTGTTAAATTTTCACTTTGTTTTCTGCCTACTTAGTTTGCTCCTTGGTACTTGATCTAGAATGTTTTAGATGCACCGGAACAAGAAAATACAACTTCTGCTTAAAGGGCCCCAATCTTAATATTCTGCTTTATTTTTTAATGTTTTATTAAACTTCATGTAGGGAGATCTGTTATGTCCCAGCCTGAACTGATAATGGAGTACCTGGTGAAGGGAGTGGCTGGCCCAGGATGCATAGGTGCAAGCAATTGACCTGTGCTTCCTGTGTGTCCCTGGGTCCACCCCTCCCTGGGCTTGTTTAAGGGCTACTGTCTGAAGGGAAAACTTCTCCTGGATGATGGCTGCTTCCTGAGGAGAGTTCTACAGCCAGAGACCCTCATCAACTGTTGGGTGAGTTAAGTTTTTCCTTCATGTGATTATTGATATTCCTAATGTTACTTTGCCTGATAGTGCAAAGAACTTAGCAGAAGCAGCTTTACTGTTTCCAAGGACCAACATTGTTCTACAGCCTGGGAAGAGAGAATTTTCTCGTGTCCAGATTTGATTCCTCCCAAACCTCATTTCATGAGTTCTCCCTTTTCTTTTTGGTTTAAAAAAAAAAAAAGTGCCCTGTGGATGTAATAAAGTGTGTGTGAGAGAGGCTTTGCTTAATCTAACTCAGCAGGGTTGTGCCTATCTACCAAAGGGGGTAAGGTGCACAAGCTTTTACCTGCCTCCTGTGTGTATGGAAACCCTGGACATGATTTTAGCACTAGCCTTCCAAGGCAAGAAGTGTTTATACAAAATGTATCAAGATGCATTTTGTACATTGAGTTACTTGTAACTCAGTGAGTTTATGTGTGGAACAGCTGAGCACCACCTTGAAGGGAGTTAGGGCTACAACCCTTTGCCCCTGGTGTGCAACTTCACAGCTTTGATGCTCGTAAGTAAGTTTTTGCATTATAATAGCTTTATTTTGATTTACTTGGTGGCCTTTCACCTTCCTTGTTCAAGAGATGCAAAAATAGGTATTTATCTGCACATACTTTTGGGCATTATTTGGTCAGGGAGGAGTAAGCCTTTTTTTTTCCTAATAATAACAGTATTGTTGGAAGACACCTCTAGAGATGATCTAGTCCAACTCCCTGCTGAAGGGAGTTACCTGGAGTAGGTTACAAACGTTCAATCAAGGAAATGAATGGGAACCAGAAAACGGTACCACCTGAACTGTTTTTTTTACTTGGAAATGAAGCATGTTCCAAAATTTCATGCAAGATGAGCTTAGGAAATGTAGTCAATTAAGATAAACCCTTAATTGCTGTGTTCTTAAAAATTTTACGTTTAAAAAGTCACCTGCTCTGTGAAGTAGTTTTAGAACATGCATTCTGAAACATCAAAATGTCATTAATGCAATGTTTTGTCTTGGATGCTTTCAAAATGTTGTCTTATATAAATCACAGCTCAAAACACTTGAGCCTTAACAGAAACTCCCAAGCACCTTGCATGAGGAAGGAAACTAATGCCTAGGCAACTGTGCTACATCAGGCACTGAGAAGTTTCCTGTACTGAATCTCAGTGATTTTAAAACAAACAAACAAAAAAACTTAACACTGTTTGGGAAGAAATTAGGTAAGCTGATCTGAGTACTGATGTTGGCACCTCAGGCACCTGTGTCAATGGCCTGATCTGTGAGGTAAGCTGTGTCTGTGCCATCTTCTCGTCTGTCCCACACAGGTTTGCTGCTGCAGGGTTAGTTAGGGGTTTATAGATGGTCACTGATTTAAAACTCAAGAAGCATCAAACCATTTGAGCTGGAGCCTAAGTTCTCATGCATAAAACACTCTAAAATTTAAATGTGCCTCCTAGTTGGTCTATTTATTATACAGTTGAGAAATGAGGTTATTTTGGAATAACTGGCATTGACTGTGTTTCTTCAAGAAATATAATGAATTCTAAGTACCTTGGATTGGCCACTGATTCTTTTTCTTCTTCTCTTACAGTAGGCAGACATTCACAATCAGCTGAAAAAGGATAGAAACCAAGATGATTAGTACTATTCGCTGTTAGTCAATGTTTATTTCAGAATTGCATTGACTTCTTTGTGCAGTGACTCTGGTGTATAAATCTGCTCTTCTGTGCTCTTTTATATGTAAAGTCTCCACGTTCCAAGCAGTGTAAATGTTATGTTTTAAATCCCTTTTCCCTTTGATAGCCATTATGGTAATTTGTTTGTTAGGAATACTTGAGTTTTTTTGTGTACATATGCACGAAGTCTCTCCGTAGTAGGACTGTTTCCCATGAGGTAAGGCTTGGGGGACAATTTGTTAATCCTCCACTGCTGATGGCTGCACCCATATTTTGTAGTTCCGTTTGGGGTTTAGGGAGTTTTTTTTTTTTTTTAAATAAAAATTGATCCCTTCTGTCCAGAGAACTGAAAGTTATTTTACGGCACTGCTTCTCCAAGTGCTGTGCTTACTGCCTTTATTCTACTAGTGTCTCTTAGAATGTGTTTTCTACTGGAGGTTACAGACTAAGAAGATCAAAACCCCATCATGTGGCTGGAGTGCTGTACTAACACGAAGACATGCTCCAAAGGGTTCTGTGTCTTGAAAAGCAAAACAGCGTGAGGAGGTCAGGTAAGTGGACTTTTGGTGTATAAGGCAAGAGACCAAGAATGAGGAAATATCCAGGTTCTAGCACTTTCTAGCTAGTGGGTATCTGTTAATGCAGATAGTTGACTTGAAAGTGTTAGCTGTGAGGGAGTAGAAGGTGTTTCTAATGAGAGATACAGAAAGTACCAATTGCTGGCAGATTTGCTGGAGAGTGCGCAGAAGATGGGGAGCAGCAGCAAAGAGCAGCTTGCTCTTCATGTGGTGGGGGTGGTACAAGAAACCCCACCAGGAGTGGAGGGATGCAGTCATAAGATGTTTGCAGCAATTTTAAGTAAGCAGTGGTCTGAGCTACAAATAAATACTTGCGACTTCTACAACAGCATGGTATGGAGCACAGATCTGTAGGAGCTGAAGTCTGAAAGGATGAAGTGGTTCAAATAAACTACTATCTATCATTAAAATGTGGGTTTAAAAATATAAATTCTGTTTGCACTTGTATTTACAAATGCCTACTGCAAATTCAAAACAATTATGAGGGAATATCATATGTTAAAAGTCTCCCACACAAACTAAAATACTCCTCTGAACAATCCTACCCTGACATTTGTGCTGCTATTTCTGTTGAAGATTCAAGAACGCAACTAAAAATTCTTTAGGGAAATCAGTGACACGAATACAGTGCCTTCCATTGCTTTTCTGTGCGTGGGTTTTATGTCAGCTAAAAAGAGAGGAATGATGGAATAGAGAGGTTACCATGTACCATTTTTGTTCATGCTATTCATCCACTTATCGAGCTCTTCCATTTCTATCTCCATAACAGAGGGTGTGTCCTCTTCGAAAATAGGGCTTGAGAGGAAGGGGAAAAAAGGCATTACACAAAAGCTTAAATCAACAAATTGATAAGGACTGCCTCATTCCAGGCATATGTAGGCACTCTGGAATGCCATCCTAGGTGAATGACCTGGGAAGAGGTCAACCTGAACAATGTATGAAGGTGATGACAGCTAGCAGACATCAACAGCTGGGCTGTGTGTGGCAGGGCTCATTGGGATACCAGTGCAAAGAATGGTCTGGGGACAAGATGGCGTGGCATGGGGTGCCTGGGAGCAGGGAGTTGACATAGGTATCCCAAACCTCTCCATCCTGCAAATGGCCAAGTGGCAAACATGCATTCATCTGTGTAATACATAGTGTCTTATCATCGCTGCTGCTCTAGTGATTGAGCTTTGTAGCTTGAATAGCAGTGACATTGACTTAAAAGGGAGAGATCATAGCTATCATAATTCAGCATTTATTTAAATGTCTCTGTTTAGTCATCTTTTTACTGATTGTTCCTGGAGTCGCATGGTTCAAGTATTATTTTAAGCAAATTAATTTTTTCTCCATTAATCCAGTTTTGTATCTTCTAGCACTGATTAGCAAAATGGAGCTTGATAAAAGTTATCACTTGAGTCAGAGCTGTGCTGTTATTAACTGTGTTTTGTTTTTGTTTTTTTTTTTTCCACCTCAGCCAAAGAGTGGGGAAGATAAGCTTGAAAACAGGGGCAAACGACAGAGAGCTTATACTAAATGGTGGAAAAGTGATATGCACACACTTTACCTTTTCACGTTTTCACTCCCCAGCTCATCTGGAAAAGAAGAACAGTTTGTGTTGAGTTACCTTGTTTGTGTATATTCACTGTATTGTAGGATAGTCTTCAACAGGATTGTTTCTGGTGAGATGTGTTTACAAAGGGTGTAACTTTCCCTTTCAGAAGAAAGACAGAACAACCCACCCTCCTTGCCTGCAGTTTTCACAGCAACCCATTTTTAATCCTGGGCGTACTGATGAAGCTCATCATGTGCCCTGCCTGGCTGAGAGTGGGTGGATATCAGCGTGGTGATGGATATGAGTGCACAGAAGCCCAGTTCACTAGCAAGGCATGCTTATATGCTATTTTAAAACAACTAATATTTAAACTTGGCCTGTGCATGCCAACACCAGTGCTAGTATTACTCCCTTGCTGCAGAACCCCCCAAGACCATGGATCTGTCCACCCCTTCCTCAGCGGTGCTCAAAATCCCACCTCCAAGCAATGGGAACTGTGTGGGAGATCTTAAGATGATCTGTGGTCATGCTGGAGACTAGAAAAGGGCAACAAGGTACCTGTCTGGGAGCTGAGAGTTTGCTAGGGGTGAGTGTGTGCTGAAATTGCCATGGCAAATGTCACCTTCATGAATTCATCAATTGCCTTCGTGGCACATGTACCACTACTTCAGAAGGTCATTTATTAATACAGTGCCAATGTGAATGGCTTTTTATTGCTTTATGCTCCAGAACTGCTGATTTCTCTGTTGAAGGTGGCTTCCTGAAACTCTGTTTTCCTTGCTGTGGCCTGCAGGCAGTATAAGGCAGGAGTAGTGCTTGATCCACCTTGTTTGTGGTTGTTGAGCACAAAGATGAAGTTGCACAGCTGTGGCCCCATTCTGCTGTGCGTATTGTGAGGAGCTGCAGCTTGGCGCTGTGCATCCATGGTCACCTGGCATGAGCTGAGAAACAGCTACAGCTCACAATGTGGGGCTGCTGCATGCCTCTCCTTTTCTGCACAAGAGACATGGAACTAAAAACAGAGACAAGCATCTTAAATGGGGCACCCTCAGGCTTGAAATAATTTTTTAAGTGTCAAGTGTGTGGTAAAGATAGCTTCCCAATGCCCAAGAAGAGAAGTTTACCTTGCTTAGACTTTTTCCGGTTATGGACTATTATAAAAATGATGACCAGTAAGACCAGCAGGGCCAGCACCGCTGCGGGCACAGCGTACACTAGGACAGATGGCTCTTCTGTCTCTAGACTCCCGTTACTGCTTGTGTCGCTCAGTTCAGGGCTGGGTGTACTTTCTATTTCCAGGCTGCCTTCGGTGGGCCCTGCAGAAACCAGCACTGGCTGGGGGCTGCTCATAGGGGTAGGGGACAAGGGAGGTACAGAGGAAGGAGGTGGCACTGTAGCAGTGGGGAATGCTGCTGTTCTGTATCCTGAGCCATCCTCGTCGTTTTCAGAGCCTGCCAAACACAGGGGGACAAGTTAACATTTTGTGGGTTTCATCAACGTTATCAATGACTCAAAGCATGCAGCTTTGCTATTCATTCAAGTCTTAAGAAAGATAATCAATGAATGTGTGCATGCACCTGAATTCTCAGCCTTTGGATGCTAAACTAGATGGCAAGTCTGCTACAAGTTTCTACCTCAATGTGGTTCTGCAGCCAGCTTGCTCAGGGACACTTTTGTTCCCCCTGGTTTTGACAGGTTGACATCGTGGCACAGCATTTATGCCACAAAGCAGGATGGAACGGCATGACCTCTGCAGTGACATGATTGTCTCTGCTGTTCTCGGGTGCTGGGCAGATAAGAGTTTCCACTTGAGTTAGCTAGAGCTTCAGGTTTTTAGCTCCTCATTGCTGGCATTTCAAATCTCACAGGACTGGATCCGAAAGCACTTAGCATTTAAAACGCTTTGGTAAACACATTAATCTTCATAATGGCCCTGAGAGATGAGCAGTTATCATCTCCATTTTACAAATGAGAAATCAGAAGGACAGAATGCTGTCCTTCCCAGGGACTCTGTGAAAGAGAGGAAAACTGAGGTAAGAGCGCTACCTCTTGCTTCACCACTCTGTAACATTCTCACATGCCTCGTCTGTCTCAAGAGGGAGCTGAGAATCCCCCGAGACTATGTGCTGGGAAGCCCAATTTCAAATGACTGCAATGCTCTGAGTGGGACAGCAGCAATCTATCTGCCTCTTTATGCCAGTTATCGTGCAGGCATCTGATTCTTTCATCCTCTCCTTAACACTAGGAGAGAATGTAAATACTTATCAAATGACTTGTGATGCTTAAGTAAGGCATTTGTCTGCTATGAAGACCACCAACCTCTTTCACTGCAGCACAACAATGTGAATGTCAGCTCTTTGGTGGCAAAAGGCTTGATGTCAGTAGCCTCCCTGCTGCAATCTTCCCTATACAGCTGAGAGCGAAGCACAGCCTCTGTATCCCTGCAGGCAGTGACTCCTTATGCACATGCTCCTGTGATCTGCTGGCTCTCATTAATCCTCTCATTACAGAAGACAGGAAGAAGAGAGTCTCTCCATTACTCTTTTTAGCAATCTGACTTCTCTCCAGAGGTAGTTCATAGTGTTTGCAGCTCCTCCATTTATACCACATACGTTTACCTCCATCAGTGCATGTGGCCAGAGAGATGCCGGCAGGGCAGACGCACCGCTGGGTACATTCCTGCAACCTCTATTTTTCTCTCTGCTGTGGCCATCTCTTTGACACCTGTCAGCTGCCTGGGCTGGTAGATGTACAAGGATGAGCCTCTTGCTAAAAATAGCGCAGAGGGGAAAGGATGTGGGGGAAATTGTTTGTTTTTCATTTACTAGTAGAGCTAAGATGGATTTTTTTAATGTCTGAAGCATGAGGTGACTCTAAAGCAAAAGCAAACAGTCACATCTCATTAAATGCAGCACCAGGCTTTCAGCTGCAGCATATGCTCTGTTTGATTTCCAAGAGAGACATTTCCAATGTTTCCACTACTTTTTATTTGCCTATATTTGAACTGCAAAGCAGATTTCAAGCTATCTATCTCTGCATGAAATAGAATTACCTTTTCTAGTCTCTGGATGAAGAAAATGGCAAATCACAGGAAGGAGTGACCTTGTCACCACGTATTTTTGTTCACTTTACATCATTCCAGGGAAAAAATGCAGTCTCTTTTTTTGGACAAGATTTCCTCTTACTAGGGCATTTTCTTCGAGCAATTTAACTGTCTTTCAGCATCAGGGCAGCTGATTGCACAAGGTTCCTGCAAGCATCGTGTTCTCATTTCCCTTGTTCCCCTGTAGCTGTGGCACATCCCATGCTACCTTTTTGCCTGCCACTCTGGTCCCCAGCAGGGGGAATACTGTGATATCTTTGCTTCTGAACCTGCCTTTCAGGGCATGCAAAGGGAGCTGAATGCCCCAAGCAGCTTTTGTACCAAGACCTGAGCAGCTCCGCAAACAAATAGCATTTCTGCTGTGGCTGCATTTCTTCCCCTGAGGTTTGTGTTGAGGCACATGGAGATGGCGATAGGAGCTGTCGACGAAGCAGGCAGGCAGACAGGTTTCTGGTTGTGGCTGGATGAGAGGCGAAATAAAATGCTTACAGTCAGCACATTGAGTTCTGCTGGCAAGGGCCCGTTCCGCCTGCTGGGCTCTCATCGAGCTTGTGGGCTGCAATTTTTGAAGGGAGTTTTCCAATCCACACTACAGCTCCTACTTGCAGAAGAAAGAGGGCTGGGAAGGACCAGGTCTGAGTCAGTTAACAGTCAAGTTTAGTAATTTGGGAATTTTTGGTTTCTCCATACTTTCCTGTAAGTTATACAAACACAGCAGCAGGAAGACTTGGGAGAGGGAGGCAAATCCAGCAGAGACCAGGAGGCCCTGCAGAGTAAGGATCCCTTCCACTTGCAGCACCACTCCCAACCTCTGCCCCTCCTGGCAATGCACTCCCACAGCTCCATGCCATGCGCGTGGCGGCTTGGCTGTGCCTGACTCACCCCTCGTCCTGTGCTGATCTGAGCGCAGCCGCTCCCTGCCATGCCCAGGGCCTGCCCAGACTGCATGCTACAGCAGGTCGCTACTGGCACTGCTGCAGGCCCTGCAAGGTACTGTGAGTATCTCAAGGCAGCTGCTCTGTCAGCTGCAGGCAAGAGTCCATTAGAGAGGGGTGCTTGGAAAGTGCTGTCTGGGAAGTTCCTGGAGCAGGATGCCAGTGTTCGAGCTCCTAACTAGGCAATAGAAAACTGTGCTCCCACTGCACCTAAAAGTTCTTTTAATGGCCAGTGTTGTGTGTTCGGTCCTGTGCTTAGAGCCATACCCTGAGCTTGCAGCCTCATCCATCACCTTGAAAGCTACAGCTTTTCCAGAGCAAACTGTGCCTGTAGTTACAGTTTGATCTCATGCCCTTCCAGCTCCACACTAGTGACATGCAACTTTGCCACATCCAGACACATGGGTGCGTACCACTCAGTGCTCCCTACTCTCAGCAGAGCTCTGAAATTAATGATTCAACAGCTCTAGGGGCTCAGCAGCAATCATGAAGTCTCTCAAGACATTACAGCCAGGGGTCACTCACTGAAATTTAACATACGTGACCCCCTGCATGAAGCCAGCACTGGGACCTGGGCATACTCACTGTGCTATCACCCCTCAGGAATTGCAGGGTGGCCAGGACAAAGCTGTCTGTGCAACACAGTCCAAATAGGAAGGCAAGACTTTTACAAGGCTCCAATGCGGTGTGAGAACAGAGTTTATAAGGCTGCCATCTGTCTGTGCTGCAGGGTCTAATCATGCTTTCATTGCCTGCTGTGGAAGAGCTTTCCAGATAGCACAGGTGAGACTGCAGGGATCCCAGAGCTTCTGAGCCATGTCTGGGGCTGGAGGAGTCAGGAGGAAAACTTCCAGAAAGCTGCTGCTCTGTTGATCTGTGAGCAGAAAATGGTGACCGCACAGGATGTCTTGGGAGGGCCGGCCACAGCAGAATTCACCCAGCCCAGCTGTGGCTTGTATAAGTCCCTATAGAAACCCAGATCCCTCCGGGTCTGTTCCTCCTACCTCTCTGCTTCGTTGAGACCTCTGTTCTGCTCTGTTCCTCATAGGATTTTTCTTCCCATGGATGCTTTGATCATGAGGCACGTGCAAAGCCTGCAGCACATTTTCCTGACATGCCTGCAGCACGGCGGGGCTGCCTTTAACGCGGGCAAGACCAAACCATTTTGTAACAACTCTTACTTCATTCTTATAGCTAAGCACGATCGCTAACCGCGATAAGATCTGCAGCACGCCTGGAACCTGCAGCCCGATTATACAGCCTAGAATAGTACTGACTTTCAGGAAAAAAAAAAAATGAACAACCAAAACACAATCCACATATTTCTCCCTGCCCGCAGCTTTAACACACTCCCAGTCCACAACAAGGCATCAGGCAGCGGCTGGCTTGATACCGGGAGGTACTTTGGCCCCATCGGGGGCAGGCTGTCCCCAGAGAGCAGCCCTGCACCTCAAGCTGTGAGCTGCACACCCATTGCAGGAGCCCCCAGCACTCAGCCTCCCTTTCCTCTGTACTCCTGAGCGCTCAGCAAGGCAGACCGCCAAATATCGATCTCAGCACTGGCGGTTCTTTTGAGTTTCGGATCATCAGTGCTGCAGAAATCAGCAGCTGGCTTTTGAGTGGAAGGAGAGCTTGAGCTTGGTCTTCAGCTTTACTATTGCATACAGTGAACAGTATGGGTGTGGGATTGGCAAGGTACAAGAAATGGTTAACATTAGACCCAAAAGGGGAGAGGGGATAGACTGGAGACAGCAGTTCCCACAAACCTAGCCTGACATTTCGGATTAAATCTCCATCACACAGCCTTACATCTGAGGAGGTGCAATAAAAAGACACCGCCAGGAAGGAGCGAGGCAAGCAGAGGAGGCACACGGCTGCTGGCAGCAGCAAGCAAGCTCCCGCAGGTCCCCTCTCCCCGAGACAAGCTGCCAGCCGTCACCCCCCAAGACCCATCCAGTTCCCAGGGTCCCCATGCCAGGGGCCACTCACCGTCTTGGGCTGAGCCCTGCCGGACCAGGAGCAAGGTGCTGAGCAGAGGCACCCAGCCAGGCACCCGCATGCTGCCTCGGCCTGCGCGGCTCTCTGCAGGCTTCAGCAGAGCATTTACATTTCCTGTTTCCTGCCCCCGGTGCCTCTGAGTTGTGCTTCTTAGGGAGATGGGCTCCGTTTGATTGTTTTTAGGAAGTGATGTAATGCCGTCCGGGCCTGTCAAGCAGGCAGGGATTGCAAAAGCGAGAAGAGGCTGCTCCTCCAGCTGAGGCACCTGTGTGTGGGCTTCCCACCCTCTCTGCTTCTGCCTGCTGGGACGGCCCTGACACCATCCACTGCCCTCAGCACAGCGGGGCCAAGTGGCATCTACGCCCTGCGTGGTCTAGGCACAAACACCACACGTCTGTGTTAGGCTGGGTAGCTTCAGGTTGTCTTCTGGGGTGACAGAGCCAGTGCATCACAGTAACACCTCACTGTTTCCATCGAACGCAGTACTCATTTGATATCCCAAATGGCAGCCCCCAAAGCTGAGCTGGCTCTAAGAAATGGGTGAAAAAATGCTGGCCCACCTAGCATCCAGTATTTTGGAATAATTTTGGCAAAGAGAAGCATAAAAGCTTCTTGTTCAGAGCAGGTGGCTCTGAGGGCAGTAGGCGGCAAGGGGACAGAGGAACCTCAGCCACACCTGCCCCCATGCAGAAGGGTGTTTTTGGATCATAGGTTTGTTTGCTCCATTGCAAAATCAGCTGTGAGATCTAAAATTCACCTGTCTGCATCCAGCAGAGTCCTCAGCCCAGGTTTTGCTCTGGAGCATCCCAAATTTGAGCCAGTTTAGATGCTTGCCAAAACACTTTCCAGTACTGAACCGAGGAAGAAGAGATGCATGCTGCTCCCCCAGACATCAGTCTCTGTCAAAATTTAGTTTCTGGTGAATTACTGGAAGTTGGCAATGGTGAATCTTTCTATTCAAGCTGGTGGAAGAAGCTGAAGTGACTAATTGCTGCGCCGGTTCTGCAGCTAATAGCTTTTCTTAACACATTGATGCTTTTGTAGGTCATCAGTTATGGTTTCTTAGCTCAAGTAGCAAAGAAATAGGTCAGCGATTCATTTAATGGCCAGCTTGTTAATAGATTTAAAACGCTTGAATGACTGAGCTAACTAACAATTGGAACTGGTCACGTATCATTGGCAGTGTACCTTTATGCACTGCTTAAGACAGAGAGGGAAAAAAAGCAAGCTACAGCACTGCGGCTGCAAGAAGATAAAGAGGAGTTCTGACAGCACCAAGTGGCTGATAACCGTTTCTGAGAGACTTTCTTCAGTACCTGCTAATCCTTCCCAGACAGATGCTTCTGAGGTGAGAATTGTGCATGTATTTATGATTTTCTTGTTAAGAGGTTGCACAAGTTCCAAGTGTTAGTAATAGTGAGTAATTGATTCGGTTGCTTTCAATTATTGCTCATCCACATCGCAGCAGTGCCTGGCATTCCTAGTCCAGGGCTAGATCTTTTCCACTCCAAAAATATCAGCAGTCAAAAACCTCTTCCCAAAGAGCCGACTGATTTAATGTACAAAGGATGCATTATACCCCTTTCATTTCTTCCCTCTCTTTCCCCAGTTTGCCATTCTCCGTCTTCCTAATGCCAAGTGGGCTACAAACATTTTTCTCTCTGCTTACCATGTGCTGCAGTTCTGTCTGTGTACATTCTGTAGGTGTACCCCAGCTCACTCATCCCTCACTAAAACATGAGATAGACTGGAAGGGAAAAGAGGAAAGGGCTTATTTACTGCTCTTTTTTCCCCTCATATTTCTACTACACGAGACAATATCCTTTCCTCTTTTCACTTGAAGTCTTTCCAGATAGGTTATAGCATTTCCCACTTGGATTTCCAGCAATCATTTTTGACACACGTTCAGTTGAAAACTTATGGCTGCCCCTTGAGAGCAAGATAACCACCCACTGGTGTGTACCTAATTAATGATTTATAAGGCAAATTATAGTTCAGAAAGTGTGACTTCATGCCACATAACATTTTAATTAAGACTTCAGAGCAATACAAAGGCAACTTGGCATGCATTTAACTATTTCAATGCATGAAATGCAGCTGCTCCTGCAGAGCCAGTCCAAGCAGGAGTGCTCCTAGTAGCCACTTGCTCAATTTCAGCTTTTTTTTTTTGAGCCCTTTTTGTACCTTGTTAGCATGTTTTTTTGACTGCATTAGTGAATACAAAAGGAGGGAGTCCAAATTCAACCTGCTTTGAAATTGGAGATCTCGCTACCTTCAGCTGCACAAGAGCAGTGACCACCTCATGGCAAAACAAATGTGTGCATTTGGAAACCGGGGTGGCTGCAGCCACATAGGGTCACTGTGAGAGAGTCAAGTGGTGCCTGGTGATTTTATAGCCTTTTCTGTGCTGAGTGAAATCTACGATCCACCCTAGCAAAAAGAAGTGAGAGACAAATGTAAGCTTCCTGTGTGCTTTCGGTGGATGTCACCCAGCTGGAAACATTTGTGCATGTTTTAGGTACTGTTGGCAGTCGGGCTGTTTGCTAATCCCTTTTTAATCTGCGAAATGTTTGTATCGTGGAGATTCCAGGGACACCAGTGTCACAACTTAAGAAAAACAGCAGTGTTTTGCAATACTGCGGCCACCTGACTCACCCTCTTTTTGTTCCTTTTTCTACGAGAGCCCCAAGAACACCACAGCGGCTGAACCTTTGAGAGCAGTGGAGCATGTTGCTGGTGGGTGATAGAGCTGAACTTAAAAATTTGTGCTGGTGCAGCGTGTCTGCTGCAGAAGTCAGCAGCTGATGGGCCTGCTCTGAAGCGCAGACAGGGCCGGTGCCAGTCAAGTTCTGCCAGTCTGCTAGTTAGCATCTTATTCCTGCCCCTGAGAGCTGTTGGGAAATGACAGATAACATTTTCCCACAGGTCACCATGAAAGAAAGGGAAATTGCACTGCGTCGCAATTTGCTATGGCATTAAAAGCCATGCAAAAGGCCCCCAGGAGACAGAAAGGTGAGCAAAGCCCGTGGCAGCTCCCAGAGCCCTCCTCAGTGCTGGCTGCACCCATGCTTCTGCAGGCTGCAGGGATAGGTGGAAGCTACCGAAATAAAGTTGCCAGAATCACGCATGTGGGTCTGCGCAGCAAGTAAAGCACTCTGTCCAGCAACAATCCTCAGATCGTGGGCAAGTTGTCTTTTATTTCAGAGATTCTCAGGAAGGAAATTTACAGTTTTCTAAGATCAGTGCCACCAGTGAATGCTAGAACAGTGCTTAAAAAATGAGATACTGGCCCTAACTGAAACGGCACAGCTGAAATTAGAGGGTAATAAAAGTATAAAACCCAGTATGTGACATTTTTACAACCTCTCTGAATAACTGCTTGTGTACATTTCTGCTCAGTTTTATTGCCTTTTTCTTTATTTTTCACCTCTACACATCACGAACCATAAAATTGTGGCTAAAATATTTTGGAGACTTCGACAGGAGCCAAAAGAAAATATACAATTATAGTTGAGCAGACGCAGATGTTTGTTTCTAAGTTCCTTTTCAACAGAATGAAAGCTTCCAAGGAGGACAGATAGCATCTCCAAATTCACCTGGAGTTAGCACAGAAAGATAACTGCTAGCAGATGCTCTGTGCCGTCTCAGAGAAAAAATCCCAGCCTGCACACTGCAATGCCAGGAATCGATTTTCAGGCACTTCTATTAATTCCAACAGTAAAGCCCTGTGACAGAAATGTAGAGGTTATTCACCTCCTGCATTTGGTCAAATGGCCAGAAGCAGAGTGTGACTGAAAGAAAGTGCACTGCTTTTAAAAGGGTCTGGGTTTTCTTCTTGATCCTTTCTGTATTAATAATGGCTTTGATTACTTGCAGAGCAGCACAGGGGAGTGCTAGTTAAAGGCTTTCCCCATTCTTTGGAAACCGTCATGTGAATGTCATTCTGCAGTGCTGAGCTGAAGTTTGAGACCAAAGGACACAATTTTTCTGTTGGGTTGCCACATATCCCAAACTCACACTCTAAGTGCACGTATTGTAAGCAATCCCGGATTAGTTTAAGCAGCAGGAGGTCCAAGGGGGCATGGCAACTGTGCTGAAGGAGAGGACCCCCTTCTGCTCCCCATCAGGGTTTGGGAAGACATCCGATCAGAAGGAGGCTGGTTTGGAGGCCTCGAAGTGGGATGGGGACAGTGCTCGAGTGTTGCTGTAGCAGCAGATCTGGCTATAACTTCAAGTGTTGGGAATAAACTCTTTCTGTAAGAAACTATATTGGCACAGGGGAGACCAAGGGAGAGATGCTGGAGTGGGGACGTGCTTTCAGCAACTCAAACGGGGGAAGAGGCAGGAGGGTGCTGAATTATCTCTGCATGGCATGTCGGCCTTACAGAGGTGCCTAGTAATTAGCTGCCACTTTCAAGGCAAAGCTTGATTAAGTTTTATCTTGAAAAAACATGCAGTTCTTTATAGAAATGAATACTTCTTTTAGACTGGTAATAAAAAGTGAAGCTGATGAAAGGGAGGATTGAAAAACAACTGCAAAACTGCCTCGGGTATAGTCATCAGTGCATTCAGCAAAATGAAGGGTGGAGAAATGAGATACTTGAGGAAAAGCAAAGTATGTTTTTAAAACCCTTGTTGTTTTTATTTCTAGGGTGCTTCAGACTGACAGCACGTTATCTTCTCAGTCGTGAAAGAAGCATAAGAAAATAAGAAAATCACAATTGTGCAGTAGTATTCTACCATAAAAAATGCAACAGCACACCCAAACTGTAACATGACCTGTAAGAATTTTCCAGCCACTCCTTAAATCTGAAGATTAACTTTGATGTCCTAAAATAATGCTGCTTAAATGTTGCTTGAGACTTTCTTAGGCTGGAGCAGCTGTCATTTGATCCTCCCATCTAAGTCCCTCTCTGTATCTTTGAAGCAAGATATTCTCTACATTTTCCTTTGCGTATTTTCACTGTAATTACTGACCTTCGCTTCTCAAATAGTTAATATAGGGTCCAGACTATAAAGGAACATTAAAGAACGATTTTTTTTAAAGCTGTTCTCATACCTAAGGATGCAAATAAGTGCTAACTATATTCAAAAGTATAGGTATCTGATCTGTGAGAAGTTTGGTTCTCAGAGACTCCGCAAAAAT